TTGAGATGACACTTAGTCAATGATCTTTAAGCTAACGCATCTAACAATATAGGTATAAGCTAGGTGGAAAATCGTTGAGAGGAAGCTAGGTTCCCTTTCCCTAAGTTAAGAAAAAGAATTCTCTCTCGCGAGCAACAGTCAAATGAGACTATCTCCAAGAAAATAGGAATCCTAAAATGAGAAAAAAATATGATAGATTTCCCTTTGATTAATTTGATAGTTATTTCAAAGGATATTTTACCATTACTAAATTTACTTGACATCAACACGATTGCTAGGAAGAATGCAAACTTAAAGCCAATAGAACTAGTAGTAGTCCTTCGCCATCCTCTTGCAAATCAAAATTGTCCATGCCATTTCTAGGATTAAAGATGAAGAATACTTAACACCCAAAAATGTTTAACACTTGAAGAGCCCCTTTTGTCAATACTATTTTTATTTTTTAAAAGTTAAACAATAAACCAATGACTCTGTTATGAACCAAGTCCAACCCAATATCGATATCAAGGTTACACAAGTAGTTATTGGGCTGACAAGAGCTATTGGGCCGAAAGCAAGCAATAGGTCCAGTTTTATTTGGGATCCAGACCCATTTACACTTTGTTAAAAAGGACTAGGAGTTAGAAGAATGGTTATGAAAAACTATTATGTGAAGCTTTGGCTTTCTGATCCTCTTATCTCCTTTCTATGGTCTTGTATCTCATCCCTTTCTAGTTACTTCTTTCTCGATTTATCTCTCCTTAGTTAGTGTATTATTACTTTGTTGTGCGTATTCTACATTATAACTTATATTCAGTGATTAATATATATAAGAGTGCTTCTGCTGGAATTGAGTTTGTTACATTGGTGCTTTCATCGACGTACTCTAATGGAAGTGGTGGTGTTAGATCGATTTAGTGGCAACACTGATCCAAAGGACTGGATCTATAGGGCGGAGCGGTACTTTACTTTTCTAAAGTTCTGCGAGGAACAGTGGCTGCCTCTTCCTTCCTTCTATCTTGATAGTAAGGCCCTTGAGTGGTTTCGTTGGATGTTTCGCAACAAACAATTTTTTGATTGGAATCATTTTAAGAAGAAGTTAGCTTTGCGTTTTTAGAAACGAACTGATGTAAAGTCTTTTGTGGTGGACACTCAAATTACCAGAATTCTTGCTTGGTTACAGAAGCTGGAGGACAAATGTTCGTTTATATCGCCACAGATGCTAGTAGAAGATGTCGGGATTAGTATTGCTACAGTCGTTAGCAGAGAGATTTCTTCTCCTTTGGCCGAAGAAAACTCAAACTGTGTTGATAATGTTGAGAGTCATCCAGAGTTGTTTGGCACTTTTATTGTTGAACATTCAAGTCATGTGGACATTCTGTTCGACGAAATGCCTACCAGAGTTTTCACTAAAGAAGTACAGGAAACTTCTTCCGATTTGGAAGATATTCAGCCACTCATGTCTCTCAACGAATTTTTTCATAGTTGCTGCCCCATGGTAGTCACAGAGGTGCAAATCGAAACTCCAATCAAAATGTTTTATGAAGAATCTCCAGGTCCTGAACGCAGGAAAGTCCAAGTGTTCGATGAATGTTCCCGAAGAGATATGTCAAAGAGGTACAGTACTACTGCTACTTCACTGGATCTTAGCTCTAGTAAACATAAAATTGCATTTGAGACATTTGGTGACAGATATCTTCCGAAGTTTTCCTTGGAGCCTGAGACTATTAATGATCTATATCTCGATAGTTTTTTTTCTAAAGATTGAGGTTAACATTCCACCAAGTACCATGCCTTCAAATGAAATGATGCTTGTTGTGAAGCGTGGAATATCTACAGATGGATTCAATGCTCACAATATCTTGTGTCAATTTTCATTTAATCCTAATGTGAATTCCTCTTTTGTCTTTGTTCATGGAACTGCGACGAATGTTTATGTATGGGATCCGGGAATAAGTTTTAACTCCATGGATCCAACGAGTTGTACAGATACAACGAACGTGGATCTATTACAGTCCTTGGGATATAGTAACATGTTTTGTTTCATTGCTTATGCTAATTCTACAACTCAAGTGTGGGATCCCGGACAACAAAGTTTTGGTCAGTGGGTTGTTGCAGATGAGATGGTAATGATGGAATCGGAAGTACATGATACATACTCTGAGGTGAATCGTGTGTTTGATAATAGTTTCGTAAGAGTTGCATTACGGGAGATCCAACCAATTGCACCATTGGATATTATACGTCTTCCCAAGTTATTTTGATTCCTACAACGACTATTAGCGCAACTCACAGGAGGGCTACAGCCTACAAGGCTGCATCAAGTCCATGATGAGCTTGATTGAGCATGAGTTACATAATTTCTCTACGCTTGAGGAGATCATGATTTTTTTTGGCGCTGAGGGTGTACTAGCTAGTTATGCTACATGTCCCGACCTTGAATTTGAGTATATTCTTGTAGGATATGGTGCTGATGGATTCATTATTTTGATAATGCGTGACGCTTTGGATTTGGGTGATAAAATTATTGACTTCCCTCCTAATTTTTCACTGTATGAATTTACAGCATTCCAAGCTTGTGAAAATAATCATTGGAGTTTGTCTATGAGTTATAGTGAGGTTGAGTTGGTTAAAGATGCTTCAATTATTGATGATTATATTGTTCACAAGTCGATGCTCGTTGAGAGTAAAAACACTTCTATCTTGGTAGTTGTGGAAAGTTTAAACCTATAATGAAGCTTATGTGCTATATTGCCTATTTCTGTGGTCATAGACGTGTTGAAGAATGCACTGTAGCAAAACAGATTCAGCTTGCAAAGCTTGGAAAAGCATTTGGTGCAGCCATGAGAACCTCTATCCTTGCAAGATCTCAAACTTTCCTTGTTATAATTCTTGAACAGAACCATCAATGTTTCTCCTTTCTATGTGAAACACCTATGGAGGTAAACAAGAAGTGTAGATTGAGGGATCCCGAATCATCTTTCTATCTTAAACAGTCTTATTGCTATGAAATAGCAAGTATTACGAATGCTCATGACTATATTAATATAAAGAATGTATTGGGAATTATTAGGCTTAGCAAGAAAGAGCAGATGGCAATTCTTAGAATTATGGCTTCTGTGATGGTACTTGGTAATATGGAATGCTCTAAAGGCAATGAAATTGTTTCCTCTATTCTGGAAGTTGACAGTATTTGGTTTCAACTTCACACCACTATTGCAGCGCTCTACACACTCAAGTCTTGAAAGATTCCACATTATACTATTCGTGTGGCTTTACTCAAACCTTGAGGACAAGGTTCTTATTGAGGACGAGAGTATTCTTATGAACCAAGTCCAACCCAATATCGATATGAAGGTCACACAAGTAGTTATTGGGCTGACAAGAGCTATTGGGCCGAAAGCAAGCAATAGGTCCAGTTTTATTTGGGATCCAGGCCCATTTACACTTTGTTAAAAAGGACTAGGAGTTAGAAGAATGATTATGAAAAACTATTATGTGAAGCTTTGGCATTCTGATCCTCTCATCTCCTTTCTATGGTCTTGTATCTCATCCCTTTCTGGTTACTTCTTTTTCGATTTATCTCTCCTTAGTTAGTGTATTATTACTTTGTTGTGTGTATTATACATTATAACTTGTATTCAGTGATTAATATATATAAGAGTGCTTCTGCTGGAATTGAGTTTGTTACCGACTCCTTAGTCCTTAAAAGCATAAAATTGAGCGGGTTAGTCATATTTTCTCCTAATCTCCTCACAGATGGAAAAGAACATATTATTCAAGACATTAATCACAAAGTACAACAATGAAACCCCCGATATTATGTCATCTGCACAAATTTAATAAAAACATAATTATGACCGGTCTCCAAAAAGTAAAAATATTATTTTTCAAAACTTTTTCACCTTCACACCTCAATTTTTCACTCTGACTCAAATTTCGAGTACCAATTTTTTATATTAAATCTGAAATTCGACTCCTGATTCTCGATTCGAGTCTCAACTCTCGAATTTCACGTTTGATTAGGATCAAATCTCAATTTGTATATCTAATCCCCCAATCAGGATTTAAGGTTGAATCCCGAATTGAGTGTCAGGATCAAATCTCAAGTTGAAAGTCAGATCCCGAGTAGTGGTTCAGATCCTGAGTCGTGGTTCAGATCCTGATTAGGAAGTCGAATTCCCCATCGAATGTGGGATTTAGTTTTTATTGGATCCCGAATTGAGTGTCAGGATCAAATCTCAAGTCAAAAGTCAAATCCCGAGTCGTGGTTCAAATCCTGATTCGAAAGTCGAATTCCGCATCGGATGTGGGATTTAGTTTTTATGATACAATAAAACTAAATAAAGTATTTTCAACATTTTTATATTTTCTCTATATGAAGTTCTAAAGTACTATTTACTCATGAAAATATGAATCAACATGAATTTTACCCAATCCATTTTTACCGAAGCGAAATATGGATATATTGAATTGTTACCTCATATATGTTTACCAATTTTAAAACCGTTCAAATTTGACCCAACGCACCTATTTACCATCACTAAATCTCAACTAACATCCCTACTCTCCAATTTTTAGCGTAACACAAATAGATACTTAAATTTTCATTTAATTCAACAAACATAAAATTTGTCAGGTAAGATAATTTTATGATAATTTATTTTATGACAATCTATGTCTACTTGCACACTCAATAAAAACAGGAGGTAAGCCAAGTTTAAAAACACCATAAGTGACTATTAACGTTGAAGTACACTCAACAAAACTTTAGAAGGTTCTGGAAATCACAACCTTCTATAGTTATTTAACTTTTGTTTATAAAAGAGTTTAGTTTACTCCAACTCACAAATATGCCCTATTCACATATTCGGCATCTATTCACCACATATAAAAAGGCAATAGCCATCACGTGGGCCCCATTATTACCAATGCTATCTTCATTTGCTTAGCTGTACACTCACCGACACTACCCACCAATTACAATACTGCTTTACTGTGATATGCGTAACAGCTGATAATAACTCAACAAGTGGAACATTATTATATACCAAAAATAAGAAAAAGGATTTAAAATAAAAACAAAGTACAGCAACAGAACAAAAGAAAAGAAAACAAAAGAAAAAACAATGCCCTTTAGTCAGCTCAACGGCTCACTCACAAATAAAGGACATTTAAAAATTAAATGAAATTAAATAAAAATCTTCTCTGCAAGCGAGTCACAAATAAAAATATGACTCCAAAAACCCAAATTAAATTAAACAAACGGAAAATGGCGGTCTAGAACAAATAAACGGACACAATTACCGAGACTGACACTGTGAGTAGAGCTTTCAGCAACGCCGGAGTGTTAACGTTACCGGCGTTCTTCTTCTTCGCCGTACTGTTCTCCGAATCTGCAGTTGGACTATCCGCCGGAGAACCAGCCGGAGATGAAGTCGGCGGAGCAGGAGGAGACATCATTGGAGTAGGAGAGCTGGCTTCCGGAGCAGGGGCTGGTGCTGGTGTTGGAGAAGTTTCCGGAGCTGGTCCCGGTGCCGGAGAAGGAGATTTACCGTACAATTCTTCCGGGAGAAGCACACTGTCGACGGTGAAAATGCAGAAGGGAGTAGAGTCAATGACTGTGGAAGCGATTCTGGACGAATCAACACCTGTGTCAAGTGTCACCTGATCACCTTCTGTTGAAGCTTTCAAATCATACTTACTAGCGCCATTAGTAGCTAGAGTTGAAATAGGATCCTTCTTCGTTTTCAAAGTTCCAATAGGAGTGTAACTCGGAATAGCATGATACTGCAACAATGAAACAACATCAGCGCTACTGAGTTCGCTCAGATCTGGAACTTTAGCTCCCTTAAACGCCTCATCATTTGGGGCAAAAATAGTCAAACCCTTTTCAATAGCAGTTTGATACGTCTTGAGAACTCCAGATTTGACAAGTAATGACGCAAATGTTTTACACCCAGCTTTCTCCAATGCACCAGTAATATTAAAATCACCAGATGGCGCCGGTGCCGTCAAAATACCCGGAGCAATAATCGGAGCACTAACCTCCAACACAGAGATATTATACTGGATTTGCTTCACAGATTTAGTATATGTAGACGCCAACGGTGAGTTCGGAATAGCTGAACCAAAACCTACTTTACCACCTTTAAGATCGGTAATGTTAACGGAACCTACGTTTCCGTGAGCATTGCCGGTAGTTTGGTAAAGAGTAGTAGAAGTTGTAGTGCCGTCGGAGATCTTATGGAGTTTAGTGCCGTCAAAGTAATCAAGCAAAACATGAAGAGAGAGAACATTTTTGATAACGGAAAGTGGATGTTTGTCGACTACAGCAGACATAGCTCCATTAGGCAAAGCTAAAACGGTAATAGTTTCACGGCTGTTAATCTCGTCGGCGAGTTTAGTTTGTGAGAGGTAACTGTTGAACACACTGTACTCCGGGAACTGGTTCAAAATTTCAGTGATGTTGTGTGCATGAACGGAAACGGTAAAGAGAGTGAAGAGGAAGAAGTGTAGTGCAGTCATGGTGTACGTTAGCAAAGAGAGAAGTGAAATGCGCAGTGAAAGTGGAAGATAATAAAGAAGTGTGGTATTAAAGTTGGTGGAGGAGACGGTTGACTATGGTTAAGAAGTGAGGGTTAACTATGGTTAAGTTAACTAGGGTTGAGAGTGAAGAATATATGGATAGCATGTGAGACAGAAGAGTGTGAGGGAATTCCGTTCAACTTTTATTTGGGCAACAGCTGGAGATATCTGATATTGTCGGTATTATTACCTTTAAAACTCTTTTATCGTCACAAAATAACACAAATGTCCTTAATCTTTTGGTTGTATGGTTTTGGCCTTTTCATAGGTACATCAAAATATAGCAATTCAGGTCAATTATTAGTAAGTTTTTAAGTATAATAATGCGGTTGGTAAAGTCTTTAACCTGGAGACGATGATTTAGAACTATGTTATTCATTGTTCAATATCAAATTTGTTGGGTATGTAGCAAGAGTTAATGGAAAATGGAGGGAAGATGAAAGAGAACTTGAAAAAGTTGGGAACTTGAAAAGTCCTATTTTGCTTTATTGAAAAGACATTTGTCCCTCATCGATGGTGGAAAGAAAAATAGGAGAGTTTAAATATAGAAACACTCCTATTAATTGTTAAAAGGGTTGGAAAGAGGGACCCCCCTCGCGCCGTCGTTGTCGCTCGGGTTCGGGAAAATGATCGATCGAGAGATTATTTTATGGACAAAGTTTGTTTTAATTATTTAATTAAATTAAATGGCCAACGTTTTAATTAGTTAATTAACCGATTCAATTAATTAGTTAATTGGTCCGACCCGACTTGGATCCACGCGCGACCCGTTTTATTTATATCTTTCCCGTTTTATTTGAATTTTCCGCCGTTGGAAGTAACTGTTCTGAAAGGGTTGCAACTTTCAGAAACAGCCATGACCGTTTGAAAGGTTGCAAACTTTCATGAATGGTCGTGTGGATTCTGAAACGATTGCAACCTTTCGGAACCAGTTCCTCTTGCCTGTAAATACATTGATTCCTCAGACTTATTCCTTACGAATTTTTCTGATTTCTTCTTTTTCTTCTGCACAAAATTTCTTCGTGTACTTTACTGTTGTTGAGTGGTTCGCTAACACCAGAGTTTTGGGTATCAATACACTGGTGATTGAGATCATTCTATCCTGGAAGGACATATTCCAAATCAAACCTCAGATACTAGAGAGGAATAATTTCCTTAAGGGGACACTGTGCATTCAGTGGGCTTGATCTTTTTTCTGATTCTGTTTTTCCAGATTGTGGTACGTTTTTTACAGATTTTAGTTTTGTCAATTAATTTCTGTTCATCTATTCTTACTGGTTTATTAAACTTTGGTTACTTCGTGTTTCTGCAAAGTTTATTGAAATCAGTAATTCTGATTTTTTATACACAGATTGATAACAAAATTGACATAATACATTTTGATCCAAATTAATTTTGAGCGGATTTAATATAATAATAATAATAACTTACTCAATATAATTGTAAAGAGAGATTGTTTAAATTTCAAGAGATTGTCGATTCAAGTAATACGTATCTAAATCATGTATTGAAAAGATATATAGAAATAAAGAAGTTGTGCTAAAAATAATGAAGAAAAGTAGAGTAGCAACAAAAAAAAATGATATGATAATTGAAGCAAATGAGACAATTGATAATAATAAAATTGAAAAATAAGATATTAAGAGAGTAATAATAATGAAAAAACTATATAACACTCGAGTACCTAATTAACCGTCTATCCTAATTTTATATTTCCATATCCTCCTATCAAAAATCATGATTTTCGTAAGCTACAAACAAGTCATGTCCTATCTAATTATCTCTATCCAATATTTTTTCGACCTATTCTTGTGCCAAAATAATTAGTTGTGCCTTGCCCCTATCTCCCTCACCCTCCCAATCAAGAAATTGTCTGGATTCTGGAAGCTTGACTTTGGGCTATGGCCAAAAGATATATTATTTGTAATTTTCCTTACTTCGTGTTGGTCATTAGTTTTTGCCTCTCAAAAGGTAGTTTTTTTTTTTTTGAAATAGATTTATATTTTTGTATTATAATATTTTACAAGTTATTCTCCGCATCATTAAAGAATGTATTTCCTATTAAGTATAAATTTAATTTATAAGGATAAAAATTAAATCAGTCCGTTTAAAGGAAAAAAGTTAAAGACCAGATAATTTGAAAATTAACCATACAATTAAATGGGATATATACAAGTTTTTGCATGAATCGCGGCTATTTTAAGGTGTTTTTTTTAACCTTGACCATCAAACTAATGTTCTTTAATTTATTTTTCTCTGCTTCTCATTTTATGGATATGTGTGGCCAAATATTTGCCTTGTCTAGCTTGAGTTGTGTAGTATTTAATTCACAAGATATAAATGTAAAAAAAATTATTTTTAAAATATAATTTTATAGGTTCTAAAACTGAACTTATACATCTATTATCATAGATTTGGTAGGAACTAAGTTATGACTTGTAAAACATAATTTGTGTCTTACGAATTTCACATTGGGATGTTTTTTGCCTTGTGATTCTTTTTGCCAATGTTAAGGGTATTATCAATCACTTTTTTGTTACTTAAAATATTAAAGGACGAAAATCATAAATTTGAGAAGCAAAAATTAAAAATCACTCTACAATAAAAACATTTGTGTGGATGACCCGAGATCTATATCCTTCACTTTCCCATAAATGAGCCTGCCCTATTGTGACATAAAAGCCCCATAAATTTTTGGAATGGCCCAAATGGGGCTTATTGGACCCTCCTCCTAAGACCCATATGCTTCATATTTTTTGTTGAGCAACATTCACATATAACAAACATAAAAATAATATTTGATGTTATAAGTATAGTTTGCATAATTGCGCTCCATAACAAATTTTATGTTTGTTATGGAGCTTTTGATTTGTATAATTCGCTACAAACATCCAATTTTATACAAAATGTACAGTTTTGTATAAATTCATTTGTACATTATAATTTGTATAATAAGATCTGCATTTGTATAATTATACGTGTATAGGACGAAAATATATGTATTTGTATTTGTATATACACTTTCTCTCTCGCTTTATACAAACACAAACACATTTTATACCGAAATGTATAAAATGACTAATTGTATACCGAAAATGGCTAATTGTATACCGAATCAGATGGCAAAAAAAAGGATGTTTGCTACGAATTACAATTAAAATAAACTATGGCTCTAGCATTTAATTTGAATGAATAGTTTGATATTTCATATAAATTTCCCATTTTTGTTTGTTGTAGAACCCATGAATCATGATACTACCAATAATCAGAGATGGACTAGGGCTAAATATTTCTACCATTCTGTTAAAAAATCATTGTAAAATTAGGTCGTACGATCACTTTTTGAGCTTGTTATGAAATTTTTAGCCATTGTTTAAAAAGTAATAGGAAAGTAGTTATACTTTAATGTGAAAATAAAGTTTGGATAAAAAAAATTCTACTTTAAATATAAAAGAACTTATAAACGTTTAGACGTGAATTATTTCTTGGATTTGAAATATTGGCAGATAATTAAACCCTATAAATCATTACATTTTTTTTTTAATTGTTAAAAATTTGAACTTTGTGTATTCTTTCTTGATTTTAAAACTCCAGAAAATGTGAACCTCATGAATCATTCCTTAGTTTTGAACTTTTAAATATTTGAATATTATGAATCCTTTCTTGATTTTGAAATCCAACAAATTTTAAACCCTTAGAACTAGAGGTGTCAAAATTGAGCTCAATTGTAGGTAACCCGTTCAATCTGTCCATAACTTTAAGGGTTGAACTCATGATAATTTGAATTGAGTTCAATCTCAACTCATTTAAGTCCTAACCGATTTTAAGAGAATCCTTAATTGAGTCCAATTTAATCTTTAATTTCAATCCATTGTAAAACTTTTTATTTGCATTGATATAATGTATATTCCTACATCAAAGAAATAAATTACTATCTATTATATATCTTTTAGAATTTATCTATCCATGTGTAACTTTTAAAATTTTTTTATCTTTAATTAAAATTTAAATTGTGGTTATAAAACTTAAATAACAAGGAAAAATTAAAATTATTGAGATTAAGCGGGTCAAATTGGGCGAATCAAGACCCAACGTGTTTTTAATCCCATTGCAGCCCAAGATAATCTTGGGCGGATCAAGATCCAACCCAATTTCCATTTCACCTCATTTTAATATATTTAATTTTAACCGATCCTCCCATTTGACACCCCTACTTAGAACCTTTTCTTGGTTTTGAAACTCCAGCTAAATCTTGAATCACAAGATTGTGTCCACGCACTCATATGTGAATCAACACTATGGGTGTGTTTGGTAGGGAGTCCAATTTTCTCATATTTGGTAGGGTTAAATGTTTTTCAAATTAATTCATTTTTCTCAAATTTAAAGAAAATGACTTTCCTTCAAAACTTAAGAAAATTATTTTCCAAAACTGTCTTCCAACTTCAAATTACAATTTTTTTTTGTTAAAAAATCAATTTATTTTGTCCCTACCCTCAAACCCCCCCCCCCCCCAACCACCCCCCATAAAAAATAATTTAAAGCCTGTTTTTTAAAAATGTTTTTAACTTCAATTTTTTTACCCCACCCTTACCCCTATCCCCAACCCCCTACCACCACCACCCCCCGCGCCTCAAAAAAATATTAAAAGTTATTAAAAGATATTCTTAATTTCAATTTTTGATTTTTTTACCCCTTATCAGCCCCGCACACCCCCTCCCCACCTCACCCCCCACCCTGAAAAAAAAATTTAAGTTTATTTTTAAAAAATATTTTCTACTCTAGTAAAAATAAAAGATATTTCTCAAAAATATTTTTCATTTATAAACCAAACACTAAAAAACTTTTTCGAAAAATATTTTCTACTCACCAACTAAACATGAAAAAATAAGTCAAAAATCTACTTGTTTCCAGGAAAACATTTTCCATGGAAAACCTTTTCCTTCATACCAAACACACCCTACGTAAATCTCCCTTCATCATATGAAACTGAGCTTGAATCATCTGAGTCGGATATGTTTGATTTCAAATATGGACATGAAATTTCTATATATGAATTCATACGCTTTTCGGAGTGTTGGAAAGACATTTAAAAAGAAAAAGAAATATCCACAAAAAAGAAAGAAAACAGGAGGAATAATAATAGCGTCAAAGTTTTGACGAGAACGCTGAATATAAATTTTTGACTGTTTTCGAGGAGTAGATTTGTCG